TTTTAAATGTTGTCCAAAATTGAAATAATCAATTTTCGATAAAAAAAGTAGGCACTAATTGATCAGAAACAGGTACCACGTAGAAGAAGATGTGGTTCTATTTTGGATAAAACAAGTACTATTTTAAGAATTGTGATTTCTTTAATCCTTTATGTCTACCATGACAAGTGGATCGTTCACACGTGACTTGGATGAAAAATAGTGGAATGTTAAAATATATAGGTAGTATTTCGAGTAATCATGTATGATGATTCTATGAGATGGAGTGTGTCATATAGTGAAATGAAGTGTATAGTAGTGTTTTCTCATTAGTGTGTAGTTCACGACCATTTTATGATTAAACTTAATTAAAAACATCTTAAATCTCATATAAACTAATGTGAGAGTGATTATGAGTTGTATAAACATCATTTGCGACCAAAATTGGTGTTTCTGTGTGTTTATTACAAGTGGTACTAAAATACCATAAAGTGGTACTTCCTTACTCTAGGTATGATACTACTTTTTGTAAATGTTGACCAAAATTGAAATAATCCATTTTGGTTGACCAAAAGTAGGTATGAATTGATCAATAACAGGTACTACGCATAAGAAAAAAGCAGTACTATTTCCATCAAAACTGACACTATTCAATGAGATGAAGTGTGTAATAGTAGTCTTTTTCGATTAGTGTGTTGGGTGCATGACCAATTTGTAATTAAACTTAATTAACCAAATTTCAAATCTCATAGAAACTAATGTGAGAGTGATTATATGTGGTATAAACATCATTTGCGATCGAAATTCAGTGTTTTTATATGTTCGTTACATATGGTATTAAAGACTCAATATCATGTACTACAACAACATAAAACTGGTACTATCTTACTCTATGACTGGTACTACTTTTTGTAAATATTGACCAAATTTGAAATAATCCATTTTTTGTTCTTTTTACAAAGTAGGTACTAATTGATCAAGAACTGGTACTACATAGATGATGAGGTGGTATTATTTATTGTAAAACTGGTACCATTTTATAAAATTCGGCATTTTTTTTTTATGTTCGTCGGAGTTGTTACTGAAGACTCGAATCTAGTACTAGAACATCATAATTGTGGTATATCTTACTCTAGGTCTGATACTAATTTTGAAAATGTTGACCAAATTTGAAAGTAATCCATTTTTTTTTTCTACAAAGTAGTACTAATTGATGAATAACTGGTACTGCATAGAAGAAGAGATGGTTTTATTTGTAGTAAAATTGGTACTATTTTACAAAATATGATTTTTTTATTGATACTATTTGTTGTAAAACTTGTACCATTTTACTAATAATGATTTCTTTAATCCGTCATGTCTACCATGTCTAAAAAACTACAATTAGTCAACAAAAGAGATAGAAGATGTAGATTTTTAAAATCTAAGAGAACATAAATAATTGGTTGTCCTGCAGCGTGAGAAATTTGGTCCTCATTTAGTTTACCTACAAGACTCAGCAATGTAACTATTCTTTATTTTTTTTCATCTTATCCAATTTGCATTTAATCACTCATAACACCAAAAAAAAAAAACTATTAGACCTTACATGAAAGGGAGAAAAAGATCATGCAAAAGACGTGGAAAATCATCCGGACATTATTACACACACTTGCATCAACTCTAGCATTCATCAAGGCACAATTAAAAAGATCGAATTGTGTAAGCTTCATGGTTTGATAAGCAAATATTCAAATCTCATCACTGCACCAAAAAGGTTGAAAATGAATGCAAGTGCTAATAGAAAATAAAAATGTTAATGCAAAACTATGCAAAGCAAAATAAAATACTGTAAACATTGTTCTAGGCTGGATGAAACCAAGAAACAATGAAACCAATAAATTTTCAATTGTCACTATTTAGTCTTTT